TTTTGCCGATTATCGCGTGCGCTACGTAGCTGATAGGTACTGCTCTCTTATCTGTCATCTTTCCTACTTGGCGGTCCCCGCATGCGTTTCTTGAAACTGTGTATGGTTGCGGTTGTTTGCGAGGGTCGTTTCTTGGTCGATTCTAACAGGCATTTACGTGATACGTCCAGTAGCGGAAAAGCAAGATTTCACTCCGAAATTGATTGATTCATTGAACCACTATACATCATTCGCCCAGCCAAGCTTCCGAATTTTGAGAGATATCATTCGTAAAATATGAGAGGACCGCGAGAAAAGACTAGTGAGGAAACGTTTACTCAGCGGTAACGGCACGGGCTAAACCATCGGTTAGTATATGCGCAAAAAAGTCGGTATCCAGCGGTTCACGGGCGAAGACGTACTGTAGATGTTCAACTTGGAGTGGCCGACAACCTTCTTGATCTGGCCCTTCTCCTCAAGGTCCTCAAGAGCCCTACGGGCGAGGGAGCCGTTGATCTTAAGACGATCGACAAGGGTGGCGACGGTGATGAGACGGTAAGACTGGACGTCCTTGTTGAGACGCTCAGCGACCTGCTTCTCGAGGACAACGGCGTGCTGGGCCTTGTCCTTGACTATTTGCAGAGAAAAAAACCACGTCAGTTATTATAGTTCCACTAGCCGGCTTTCATCATCGTCGTGATTCATGTCCAAACAACCCCTCTGCCCACAAAAGAATCGGGTGACATCTTGCTCGGGAAAAGGTTCGTTCGCTGGGAGGATGGATGGGAGACGGTGATTTGCATACCCTTGCCCTTGGACCACTTCTTGCGTGCGGGAGCCTATGAATAAAATATTAGTATAACCTGGACGTCCTGCTGTTCACTGTCCATGTGCGGCATGAACTCACCATCTTGACTGTCTGATCTGGTTGTTCGACGACGGATGAGAGCGCGACAATCAACGGCCGGAAGTGAGAGCCCAAGTGCGAAATTCGAGTGGGGAGACCTCTGGCGTCACGTGGGTGCAAACCCTAAGCCCTTGTTTGCTCGGTTAGCGGTGGTGGAAGAAGAGGTCTTTGATTGGCTAGCGTTATCTATATGTGTGCCTCAGGCAGAAATGTATAGTTATCATTCTATGCGACCAATGAATACACAGAGATGAGATCTACTGTCAATGGATACATGCATGAGTTTCCAATTTACTGGGGTTTAATAAGGCCAGACTCGCTTGGTATTGCATAACTCATAAATGTTCCTCCAGTTATCGGCTCATGCCTGCACTGTGGCTTCCAGTAGAAGCTTTACCCTTGATAGTATTGAGTACTTTGAACTGTGGACTATCACCTTCGCTCTCGATACGACCGAGTGTATACTCTTCAGTCGTTCCAAACCAGAACTTTGAGTCTTCTCCTTGATTGCATGATAGCCACTTCATATCGTATCGCCCGCTGTCGCTTCGTGAAGTAGGAATGTAAATGATTGACGGCTGGCCCTCAGGAGTCCAGGATCGAACAGCAGCAACAGTATTGTTGGCAGTGATGATGAGTAGCTGTATTTTGGAGGGATGCCATGCAACCTGTTTGACCGGATGCTCGTGAACCAAGGCTGACACAAGCACGGCAGTGGACTCCAAGTTCCATATCCAAACAATGTTTGGTCGTGTTTGGTCTACAGTGGCTAGGAGGTTTCCCTTGCAACTGAATGCCATGATTGATACGCCCCGCGGTGGGCCGGTTGTTTCTGCAGTTATGCTAAAGGCAGAAGAGCTGGAAGACTCGGCATATTCAAGGGTGCCATCTGCAGTTGCGAAGCGCTCACGCCAAATACTGGGCGAATTGTCATCAATTTGGAAGACATGGGATAATGTTGTCGAGCATGAAAACTGGATTCATCAGTTATCTGACTGGCCCAATATGAAAAAACGCCAACTTAGACTGGAATAGACGTACTGTTTTGCATCGTAAAATATCAACAGTTCCATCGACCTTACCGATGGCTAGATATTCCGAGATGCCACTCTCGTTCGCAACCGGACTCCATTCTATACCTCGAACTCCAAGATCAAAGGAATCATCGAATCCAGGTGGTCCGGTATAAGTCCTGAAGAGCTGTCCGTCGGCAGTGAAAACAAGAACCTTGGTACCCGCACTGGCAGCATCCCAAACGGCTACCCATCTCCCGTCGGGGCTCCATTTCAAGCCTTGAGCGTCTACTGTCGGTAGCACCGCGCGGTTTATTAACTCGTACGATCTGAACGCATGGATGGTCAATAGGTCCACTGCGTCTGGTTTTAACAGAATCGCAAACTGCCCCGTCTTAGGTCGGTACCCAAAGCCATTATGATGAGCAAATTTCGGAGATTTAATAACCTGGCTGCGGCCGGTATCCAGAGCATACACAGTTAACCTTGTATTCCATGCATGGAAAACTATGACCTCATTTTCATCGCTGCCGAAATCAATGTTCAAGGCACCAGGCTCGATACTCTCGATTTCAGCATGTAATTGCAGCGGAAGCAATTGCCATACCAGAACGCGTGCATCACTGGCATGGAGCACACGTCTCCCTGGTGCAATTTCGCCTCTAGCGGCATACGTATCTGGTGATACAGTGTAGCTCGCTCGTGAGAATTTCAGGAATTTTGACGAGCTTTCTTTGACTTTGACGATCTCTACATCCTGGAACCCAGAAGAAGTCGGGTTGAGGTGTAGGATGAGATCTTTCGCACTTGTCTGAGCAGCATATTCTCCATGCTCAGACAGAGAGATTGAGGATGAGACTGAGCTTCGATTAGTGTTTGTCTAATTTGTTGGGAAACTGGTAAACATACCCCCTGCTCCGGTGGAGTCCATTGTTGGTCTTGGAAGCGGCGCTAGTAGTTCAGTGATTTCATCCGTTGAGACAGCTGTTCAAATGGTCGACGGTGCCGGTGCTTCTAACAGTGGGCATTATATCTAACTGTGCACATGATCGTGCTAGTTCCAAGGAAAGTATTCCTAGAGATTTGCAGTCTTGTAGGGTCTCCATTCATTGGGCATGATACACTAGTATTTTCCACTTACGGACGCCAAGTCTTTTCTATAGATTACATAATCGGAATGGCAGTGAGCTACAAAAGGATTCTCTCTTTTGGCATGGAGTAATGAACATGGATCGGAGAGTATTCTGCTCTGAATCTGGATGCGTCATTCAATATAACAATTGCTATGCTATTACCCTGACTGGCTGTTATGCCCAAGTTTGATCTTTAAGTATGTGCATCTTTTAGCTGGATAAGATAAAAGGCGGACCAAAGTTACTCCGACCCGAGATAAATCGCCATCGAAAAAAAGTTGCCCGCATTGCGAATAATCCGGGGAATAATTTCAAGCTGATAACTTTCACCGTCCCTCATTCCCTCTTAATCCACAACCATAGGGTTCTTGCGCGTTCTTGCCCCGTGGCTGGGGCGACAATCTCCCAAAGTACACCGCTCAAATCTCATCAAAATGACAGTCCCCGAGGTACAATCCGTGTCGCAAAGCAACGGCGAAGCGCAAAATGCGCCCGCCAATGCCAACACAACACCGAAGCCGAAGTTGTTAGGGAGGGAATTCTACAAGAGTATAGGGAGTCCCAAGTATATTGTGGCACCCATGGTGGATCGATCTGAATTTGTATTAGCTTCGCTTTCTATCACAGTACTCTCCAATCTAACGGCTGATTCTAGGCCTGGCGCATGCTTACTCGGTCGTTCATGCCACCCGATGATCCCAAGCCTATGCTTGCATACTCGCCGATGTACCACGCGCGTTTGTTCCGAGAACAATCACAAATGCGTTTGCAACATTTCCATCCCACTCGCGCTGCTATCAAAGGCGATGATACCCCATACTTAGACGGAAACCCCTCCATAGACCGGCCGCTGTTTGTACAGTTCTGCTCGAATAACCCGGATGACTTCTTGGAAGCTGCGCGCCACGTAGCGCCATACTGTGACGCTGTGGACCTGAACCTTGGGTGTCCCCAAGGGATCGCAAGAAGGGGCCATTACGGTGCCTTCCTTCAGGAGGATTGGGATTTAATCTATAAACTGATCAATAAGCTACACACCGAATTGGATGTTCCCGTCACCGCGAAGTTCCGTATACAGGAGACAAAAGAGAAGACACTAGAATACGCAAAAATGATACTATCCGCCGGGGCGAGCATAATTACTCTTCATGGACGCAGGAGAGAGCAGAAGGGTCATAACACGGGTGTGGCGGATTGGAGTTATATTCGGTATCTTCGTGACAATCTGCCTCCGGAGACAGTTATTTTCGCCAATGGAAACATCCTGAACTATGACGATCTGGAGCGCTGCTTGGAAGAGACAGGTGCTGATGGCGTGATGAGCGCTGAAGGAAACTTGTCTGACCCAGCCATCTTCAGCAAGCCTCCTCCAGTGGGAAGCGAAGGCAGGGAATACTGGCGCGGCCGGGATGGAAAGGGCGGATACCGGATCGACGCTATCTTCCGCCGCTATCTCGATATCATCTATAAATATGTCCTTGAACAACCTATTCCGGAGAGGAAGCCTCTCTATCTCCCGTCAGATCCAGGGGAGCCGGAACAACCGGTAGAACCCGCCGCCGAGGAAGCTGAGGAAGAAGGGCCACCGAAAAAGAAGCAGAAACGCGACAAGACGAAGAGACCTACTTCCCCCAGTCTTGGGGTCATGCAGGGACACCTGTTCCAGCTTCTGCGCCCAATGGTGGCAAAACATACAAACGTTCGGGATGCGCTTGCACGGTCAAGGCCAGGCGACATGGCTGCCTTCGAGCACACTCTTGCTCTTACTGAGAGAGCAATCAGAGAGGGCCTTAAGGAATATGAGCAATTCCCAGAGCGCTTTGAGGCATCTCCGAACGAAGAGCTTACGGGCTCCAAGGCAACGATTGCTGAATACGGCAGACCTTGGTGGATCTGCCAACCACACATCCGGCCATTGCCCGAAGAAGCTCTAGAGAACGGTGCCCTCACGGAGAAAGGGAAGAAGCCTAACACGAAGCAAGACAAGGCCAAGCCTGAGGCATCTGCGGAGAAAGCTGACACCCCGGCTGCAGAGACCTCTGCTTCTGAAACCCCGACCAACACGGCTACAACACCGGACGCTTTGGTAAGCGGTTAAGATACTGCGACACTTGTTATTAAACCATCTCGCCACCGTGTTCTATTTACTCGAAGCACATAAACTATAGACAACCCATCCACGCACTACCAAAAGACATAATACCCACGACATTACACGGTATATAGAATTAGACCTTTATGCATAGCACTGCGAATCCCAATATCAATTCATAACACCATGGTATCTAAGAATGAAACCCTCAACCCCCAAACTCCAAATCAATAGATAGAACCAACCGTCTAAAAATCCAAAACAAGCTGCGGCGCCATCTTCTCCAAATCCTCGACCTAAAGCCAACCAAGTTAGTAAAAGTCCAGTCCAACAACCACATCACAGAAGGAACAGGAAAAAGAGGAAGAACAAACCTCAAGAAACCCATCCCCAACTCCCCTCTCAACACCCTTCCCCCCTCAGCCCTCTCAAACGCAGCCCTGGCCAGCGCCTCTCTCACAAAAACATCCACATACTTCGCCACAACCTCATTCGCATCCTTGGCGATCTTCGTCTTCTGCCCCTTAAAATGGTGATGAACAAGCTTCGTCAGTAGCTTCGGCGGTATCGCCGCTCGCTTGAGAGAATGTCGTTCTCATCGGGGTCCGCATGGACGATTTCCGCAAGGATGTAGTCTGGTTCTTCCGAAGGGGAGCGCGAGCCGGAGCTGGATTCGGATTCGGAGCCCGAGTTCGAGGCTTCTTCGGCCTCGTCGCGGGTGGAGGTTGTAGAGGGCCGAGCAGCCTTGGATGATGAGGCTTTTGCGTTGGTGGGTTTTGCGGGGGCTTTGGATTTGGATTTGGTCTTGGGTTTGGAGGTTGATGCGGATGCGGTTGTTGAGGGGCCGGCTGTCA